TCGGACAAACAAGCCTCGAACAAACATTGCGACGAATCTATATTGAGTATTGTGAATTAGATGTGTCTAACCCCGGTCAACTCGACGACAGGAAACGATTTTTCGGTCTTTTTACAGTGAGTAGTATATGAATGAATGGAGAAATTTCCCAGAAGCAGATGATCGGTTTCGTGTGGCCTCATTCACATTGTGAGTTTGACTATCAAAATGGCCATGCAAAAGATTACCGGATATGCATAATTGATGAGCGGCAAGAACCGGAAAACCGGTCGTGTGTTTCTGGGAAATTTTGTCCAGTCATTAAGTTAAACCAGTCCGATTGCAGTAGGTGTGCAATCTGTTGTCACGTGACGTCGTATAGCCGCAACTCAGGTAATTTAGGCTGTTCAACCAAAGGTCAGAGAAAAGAAAAATTATTCAAAACTGATTACGCGGACGAGTGAAAGTAATACCGCCAACTGAACAAACCACACAGGACAATAAAATCCAGTGAAATGGAAAAGCCCAATCAGTCAAGAATGAGATAAGATCAATTCACCTTCAGGTATTCCGTGTGACCGATGATATCATCCAATCGTCGAGCGCCCAATTTGCTCATGTATTCGCGAACTTCCTCGGCCAGCAGGAACAGGTAATTGATGACATGTTCCGGTTGACCGGCAAATTTGGCCCGCAACACCGGATCTTGTGTGGCAATCCCGACTGGGCATGTGTTCAGATGACATTTGCGCATCATGATGCAACCCAGTACGATCAGGGGAGCAGTGGACATGGCAAATTCATCTGCACCGAGTAGAGCGGCCACAATCACATCGCGACCTGATCGAAACACCAAGGGGGAACAACAACAACAATCGGGGAGGGTGGGTGGAGGAGACGAGTGGTTCGTCGTGTACGCGGTTAAGGAATAGCATGTGTAAATACAAAACGACCATTTTATCACGAGAGAACCATGAATTTTCAGTGTGAATGCTGATTAGCTCGGTCAAAAATGAAGTTCAGTGCCCAAGGTTATCGATGAAATGATTATGTATACGAAAGAGCATAGACAAACCGAGAACAGAGTAAACGAATGGATTGATTTATAGGCGAGCACATGAAGAACATCAGCAGTTTCGAGGTTTTTAGGAATGGGATAGACGGACACCCGGCACATGTGAACGTATCGAGCAAGCGATATTAAAAAGTAAAAACAGAAAATCAAACCAGGGGTTAAGCGTTTGACTTTATACTATTAACCTTTGATCGGTTGCTATCATTTTCTCAAAAAAAAAGAAACGCTTTTTTGCACATTAAACTAAAATATTCAGCGAGAAAATGCGATGAAATAAACGACGATCTTCCAATGATCTTAGTCGTACATCAATAGGGTTCCCGGTAATGAGTTACATCTCAAATACCGTTTCAATTAACTTATCGATTTGGTCAAGGAAGGGAAGAGAGAGAGAGAGAGAGAAAGAGAGTAAGGCAGAAGTACGGTACGGACTTACCTGTGCGAATTTGTCCGTCCACTTGAAGCAGAACACGAGATCGGGTGCGTTGATGAACGAGAATCTGATGCGTTTCTGCAATTCCCAGTTCCCATGGCAATCCGGCATGTTTGATCCCAGTCCAACTGCTTGCCCCAGTTCCACCATCATGACCAGAAATGGTAATGTGAGCGGCTCGTGCCTGAAAAGTAAAATCGATCAGCAAGGAAAAGTGGCGAATCGAATGCAATCAAATGTCAAGATTGCGCGAGTGCCCTCAGATAGTAAGCGTTGAGATACAGGATGCTTAGATCAAAGTTAGACCACAACCCAGATGTTATCAAACATCCTATAGGTGAGCCAGAATTACACATCTGATCGATTTTCGGTGACGAATCAACTTTGGCCAGGATATTATTATGCACTGAAGAGAATAGTTTTCTATTTGAATTAGGATGGCAAAAACCACAATCAATTGTTTGCAATTGTCGGAGTATGATTTTATTTTTTGGACTGTACTCGAGAAATGTTCATATGAACATAATGAACACCAAGATCACCACCTCCGATCACAATCAATCTCACCCGACAAAACAGACACATGAGGCTCATCCCAACCTCCTCCCCCCTCGCCATCCCGAATTTCCTTTCGACCCAGAGTTAAAACGTGTTCCCATTAACAGAAAAACTTTATGATGATTTGAACAAGCACGATTATGAATCATTCGAAATCTAGTATTCAACTTAGGATTTGTGTTCTATTGTTATGGCAATGGGTTTATTCTGGGATGGAATAAACACTTTGGAGGTTATCCCTAATAGCACACCTTTTTTGATATAATCATTATATTCACCATTAAGATGGTATATGCATAAAGTTATCAGTAATAATCCGGTATAGATATGCATTGATCGATATTACTTCGTGATTGAGATAACCATTCGTGTATTCTCCTTGGCAGTTAGATGAGTGACAAGCGTATGCCTTTCTTTTGCAGCCTTGGGTTCGATTTCCGGTCAAAGCGAAGCACGCCAACCGATAGTGAAAACGAATGGACAAAAAGCGAGGCGTTTCGGGCATTTACCAACAGTAACGATAATTTGGTTTGTTTGAATAGATTGAAATTGATCCTGGACTGTTCTATCATCGTTCTATCAAAAAATATATACCAATGTTTCCACATTAGAGGGTATACACACAGCATGACCAAATACGGTTTTGACTTTACAATCGATTTTGAGTATAGTTTAAGTGTTTTATGGTATCAGATATGAAAGGAATAGTGGAGACAGAAATAAGCCACGTGTATGATAAATACGGAATTCATATTTGCCCCCGAGGTGTTCAAATCGGACAAAAAGCCTCACCTATATTCCCTCTATGCACAGATTTTAGTTGAAAAAAAAACAAGTAACCAAAGATGAAGGAGTAACTAATAGGGAAGAAACATATTGCTTAAATTTGTCGAATAAGAAAATAACGTAGTGAAAGCAATCAACAAAATAGTTTGAGTCGTTTGTCGCAGTAGAGTGCTCAAATTTTTGACTCTGTCCGTGGTAATGGAGTGGGGAAAACAATCGGTTTTCAGGTCAACTGTATCGTTCCATACTGCACACCTAATATGGTTGTGCTCACGGTCCTTCATTTTGCCCTCTTCTCACCTTAGACCCGTTTGATACATTACCACTCCCCCCNCCGCCCCCCCCCCGGGATCTGTTCAACTCAGTCGTATTTCACTCGATTTCTGAGTATTCGTCGGGGAGAGAATCATGAGCACTTTCACCCTCTCCCTCCGTGAAACGACAGGAAGCCGTGTGTGTGTTGAGTGACAGATAACCTGGACTTCCGAGCAAGTTCACCGGAAACTTTGATCGTTTTTGCGTCCGTTCCGGACGCGACTGCAGTTATTCCATTGATTCTCAATCAAACTGGGGTTCCGATTTGGGTTGTGACCAAACAAACGTCGATCTGAGTGTGTCACTCGGTCGGGTTAGATGACACTTAATTGAGAGAATTGCTATTTGGGCAGAACATTTCTTACTTAAGCCGAGTATAATACCAAACACGATCAGGTATGATGCTAAATGGAATCACGTGCTCAGTCCACGGGCGTGTTACTCTCATCCCGGGGGTGTTACTACGACACGAGGAAATCAGCATGAAAACTTACGTGAATGGTAAATAGAGAGTACAAAGAAAGTTCACCATGCTCACCATGATTCGAGTAAATGACTAAATGATAAACGATTGCTATACATTACAGCGTGTTCATCTAAGTCCGGTTTCCTTTTTCTGTCGATCTGTGTGTGATGAGAACGCAAATCCGGTCGCAGCTCACTCGCATCGGGTGTCACGTGACTAGTCGGCCTTGCTATCGACCTTACCCCAGTATTGATAGGCCCGAATGATTAATGATCTGTATTTCACCCACTAACCCTGTAAATTGTGTTCACAATTACAGTCAACCCGTTTCAGTTGTGACTTGTGTTCTTCACAAACCCGGGGAGGTACAGCCACAACACGATCATTATCCATTTCGATAGAGCGCATGACATGCAAGCTCTGTGAATCTGAATGACTCAATGTATTTGTACAAAAGAATCTTCAGTTCGTTTAGATGTGAGATCATTAGCAGATCGGTGAGATCTTGCGCAAAAAACATTGTAAGGCATGCTTATCTTCGTTACCATGGTTATATGAACATTACCGGGTAATGGCACTGCTTAGTAATTTGGAAAACATTACTTTGTACATTATTATCATTATAATATCCTCTATTAAGAGAACATTTCTTCAAACTGGAAACCAATTTGAACTGCTCAATGAGCGGACCATTAGTTGCATCAATACCAAATGGATTTGAACGCCTGGTTATTTTTTCACAAGGGGTGTACACAGTCAATTAGTGATTTGTGTTGAAAATCCGCTAGTTTTCTGCGCTTGTTCAACGTCCTCTTGAGCGGTTGTTTCTTGCTTGTTTGAGCAAAACGGTATGGCGAGCGAGAATTCATGCGCAGATCGATAATTCCTCTCCCCCATGATTTAGTTCGACTGCCTCGTGTTCTAAGCAAGAGGGAAATTGAACACTCTCTGTCCTTATCTCTCTCTCTCTATCTCTATACAGGTAATGATCAAACTCGTGCAACACTCGGAAATTCATCACATTTGTTTCTCCCAACTCTTGTGGTTTCCAGCCTCATTCACCTGATTGAATATGACTTTACCCCAAAGCCGACGCAACATATCTGTACCAATATCCAATATTAGTTGAATCCCATTAAAATTTACGATTTCTCGATTTCGACGACGGTTACTGGTGCATCATAGGTACAATAACATTGCCTCGGTAAAAGAAACTTATAATTTATTTATAAAGATGATTCATAGGCTTCATGCACGTATTGTACTTTCAAGTTGTCATTTTTCCACTTGACCTCCGTTAGGTTTGAGCACTGGAGGCAGTCGTTTTAGCATGAAGCCAACCAAGTTAACTGTTCAACAGCATTTGCCAGTTTCCCCTAATACATGCCTCACCCTGTCTACGGACGACCACAGTCGAGGTAGCCAACTTATCTCTATTGCTGATACAGGGAAAGGTTTCATTTACACTCAAATCCCAATTGTTAGGTGGTAACTGAATGAATTCGATATTCATCTTGATCCATCCAGAAACTGCGTAATTGTAAAAAAGATAATATTTAACGAAGTGTAACCTTATTATACGACCAAATACCTCGAGCGAGATGTAATATAAACCTTTCTTAGAAAATATGCATTTTGGTTCCCGCAGGATGAGAGATTTTACGCCAATAGCATGCACCATTTTGTGTGCAATAAAAGGAAACTGAGAATGAATAAAAAGAAAAAATATTTAGGCAAGAAAATTTTAATTATTCGAATTATTGACTGCGCACTGCATGAGAAAGCTGTTATTTAAAATACTTATATTGAGCAGAATAAACACTCTCGTGAATCAGTAATCATTTGTGAGTAAAAATGAAATTCTATGCCGTATTGCATAAAATATTTTTCAATGCTGAGCTAAAACTTTCAAACTACTACAAATTTCATCGTGACACTCAAGGTCGCGTAAATTCAAATCATGATATAAAATCACTGAGTACATTGTAGTGACACATGAAGTTAGAAGTAAATACACTTCGTGCGTATCTATAGATATACATGCTTGATAATGACAACTGAATTGTGCTTCCAAAATGAGAATCATGTTTACACGAGTTCAATCAATATCTATATACAAGTGTCAATCAAACTCGTGCAACATCATCTTCATTTTGGAAATACATTTCCGTCTCCAAGATCATACTTGTATATTGATGACTATGCTTAAAGTGTATTTATTCTTGATTTTATCTCCCACATTTACATTCTAAGTCTTGCATGATCTTGAATGTTGCGATGAAAATCGTAGTATGTCGAAAGTTACAGCAGAGATTTCGAAACTATTTTGAGCAAACCAGCATGGGAATTCATTCATTTTAATAAATCATTCCGGTTCCATGAGATTGTTTACTAATTTGAGCTCACTTATTCTAAATTGCTCGTCTCTTTTCATTCAATACACAGCAAATAAACAAATTAATGAAAA